AGTCATGATGTGATATGGACCTACATGCCCCAGTCAGCAGTGGGTGAAGATTATATATGTATGAGAGCTATTTTTAATTTTTTATCAGGTGTGTCATGTTCAGTCTTCAGGAGAAATGTGACAAAAATAAATGTGACAAGTTGCAACTTTTGGGGTCTTTTTTGATGTCATCAGGGTGTTGCTATAAACTGAAGACAAGCCCAAATACAATTACGAATTTAAAGTATTCTTTATATACATATATTTGTTGCATTAATACAAGGAAACTTGGATATTGTTTGCCATTTTCTTCTCACCTCTGAATCTTGTTTTATTACCCATTCTTAGCAGGCATGTAACTTCACCATGCATGGTTTGCTAATATAATATAGTTTATTAATTTCTCTTCTCTTTCTTGACACCTACCATAATAGATATTCATATCCATATCTCAATAAATGTTACCTATCTTAGGGAAACTAATCTCTTTTTTTATCTGTGCTCGTGCAGGCAAGTACCTGATAGCCACAGCAGGAGGACCGAGTGGAGCAGGGTCCGGCAAGCAGGGAGAGCTGAAACAGATCCAGTTGACCAGTGGAAGTCATAGTGGCGAGGGAGCCTCCTTCGCCCAAGGCCAAGTCATTGTTCAGACGTCGGCTGACCCAAGCTCTTTCACACACACTCAGGTTATCCTCCCTACACATCTCACAAAATATGGGTAAGTTAGACATGGTATAAGGGAGAAGTGTCTAGGACTAGCACTAATAGGTTGTGCTGAGTACGAGATGGAGGCTTGCTTGGAATATGAGCAGCACTGTGGAAGGTGATTCAAGAAGTTACTCGTCCACTAATGTATGCTGAAGCTTAACACCATGTTACTATAGGTTGTGATTAGGTGCTTTGTTGTTTGCTTAAAGGCAATATGAATATTGATTGTTATTGTTTTTAAAGATCTTCATGATGATAAATGGATAAAAAACAAGTATTTAATTAGATGAATGTTCTCTCATTTCAATTGATACATGCCTTACTTTCCTTTCAGTAGTGGTTACGTGACGGTGAATGGAGAGGTAAAACGAGTGAGCACAGCAACCACTGGACACACAGTGACTGGAACGAGTAATATGAGAAATAGTAGTACTAGCACAGGAACTGCAGTCATGGTAGGAACTGTGACTGCTGCCCCTCATACCACAGAGTATGTAGAGGAAGTAGTGGAGGCAGAGGGTGTTGTTATGGCTGCCCCTCAAGACGAGCCTCTTTCGAAACGCCCGAGGGTGGATGTGGACGAGTCTCCGTACGAAGATGAGTAGATTGTCATTGCTAAACCACCGAACCTAGTGGGTGTTGGTGGCCAGCAAGGAAACAAAGCAGTAACTGCTCTCATGCCAGTTAAGTAGTGGTGGTCTCTGTGCAAGTAAAACAGGTTCAACTCAGGTGGACAGAAGCTGTAGGATGGCTGTCTGACGCTGCGTTAGCCCGAGTTGTGTATTTGAGAAAAGATTTCCAACTCTCAGTTTTTAAAAGAACACATCTGTGCTGTTTTCAGTGGCACAGGAGTTTGTTTTTCTTCAGGGATTAATAATAAAAAAAAGATGTAGCCTGTTTTCTAGACAGACCAATAAAAGGCATCTGGTATGGTGTAAAGACTCAATGATGTGCACAGTGGATAATATTGTAGTGCCTGTTTTTTGCCATAATGTGACAACTGATGGCAGGTAGGCCATATAAAAATAGTGGACATCAGTTTGACAAGTTGTCTGTAATCACAGCGATAGAAAGGAGACTCGGCAGAACTCCAAAGCATCTGCTGTGCCTAGGTGTAAGTGTGTCACACCGCAAGACTAATGTCATGTACCTGATGGGATTATGGAGGTTGCATATGAGGCAACTTTTGCAAATTTGTGAAGTGTCTGGATGAGAAGTTAATGCCCATTAGTTACTCAGAAGTAGTTTACAGACTGTTAAGTGATGTTTTTTGCCAAGTGCTTTTTTAAGTTCAGAAGAAAGTGACAACCATATTTGATCATGATGACTTTGCTTGCATGTACACATTATTACTTGGCTTTTCTTCATGTATACAAGAGATTTCTTTTTAATCGACTTGTTTAACATGTATTAAATGTATAAATTGATGATGTGAATGCTTTAAAATAGAGCATAGCCATATTAAATGTCAATATTTAGTTATTTTTGTGAAAGGATTGGCCTCCCAGTCTCACTGCAGTGTATGATACACTGGGATGTATGGGAAAATGATGATTTTCCCCAATATAGTGCAGTACAAGTTTTTAGGTGATGTAAAGTATTCTTTTTTGTGAATAGTATTAATATGAAAAAATAACAAAACAAAACAAAACAGATGATTATAGGGGAGTGTTCAGCATGGGCTATGTGGAGAAATTAATTGTTCAAGAATTAAGTTGAAGAGTAGAGTTTTTTTTTTTACAACTTCAAGAAATGTGTGGGAGTTGTGAAACCCTGCCATATATGTACAGTATCAGAATGTTTAGATCTGCTAATAGTAGCAGAGGATATGTTTCCCTATTGTAGTATCAACTTTGTACTAAAATGAAGAATAGCATAGTTTAAGTCAGAAGAACTCCCATATTTTTCTTTAATGTTTGAGAGGCTACAAATGATGTGTAAATGGTTATAGTACTATATCTGTATGGAGAGGGACAGTGTTATAGTAAGAGAGCATGTTGGAACACTTCCTTTCCTTTCATGTACATAAAGAGAACAAATGTAGAACTCTAGATTTTTTTTTTCAGAATTAACAACTCATTAAAATGTTAGCTCCTGAAAGGGGAAATATTTATTTTTTGATTATCTTCTCCTGATGATGCTAGATTAATTCCAGCCTTTCACTGTGGAAGGAATTACACAGGTGTTTTTAGTATCCAAAAATCATTAGCAGGTTCTACTTCAAAGGCCTACAAGGAAAGGTGAGTGATTATGGTCCAAAGTCAGAGGTATTTGTAAATAATCACGACCGACTAATTAAAGCTTAATAAAAAGGAGTAAACTTTGGTTTGGAAAAAAAGGAAAAGTGGTTAGCTTGTTGACTTTAAAAGCCAAGAGTTTTTTTTGTGAGTTTAATGAGACATGCATACATATTCAGATAACTTAAAAAAAGGATATTTATTGTGTTAAGTTAAATAGCCAAATTGTTGTTTTATTTCTTCTTCAGTATCAGAAACCTAAGACTTGTTCCTTTAGTAACAGGCTAAGGCTAAGTGTTACTTTTATGTATAGTAAATAAATTTGGTGCCCATAAATTATGAATGAAAGGATTACTTTAAAACTTACCAATGTTTCATCCTTTGCCAGAAAATGTTTTCCCTTTTTTTCTTAAACATTTGTGTGCACTTTTTCAGTGAGTAGAAATTACCTAAAACAAATTATGAAAAATCCAAGTGAAACATCTCTCTCTGGCAAGGCAAGTTATTACACAGTGAGTGTTACATAGGGACTGCAAAATTTCAAATCAGGGTCCTATATTAATTGTATTGTTCTAAATATGTACTTATGAATATAAAGTGAATATTTGGTTATCAAGAGTCGTATCAAGTAGTTGAAAATTGTTCTGGCTCCACAACCAATATTTTGACAATCTTCTGTTGTGTGTTGAAACTGTTCCTCTCAAGAAACACTCCAGTTTTTCTTGTATTCTTTTATGTCCTGTGATAGAAAGAATTAGTATAGCCGGTTATCATACGTTCTTTGTGTCATGTGACAAATGATTGTGAAACACAAATTGTTTTTATCTGTTCCCAGTTCTTTCAGTTCTTATCCGTTAGACCAATGCCCGTATTTGCTTCATGCTTTTGGTATTTCACTTACCAAGTGTAGCCAAGTATTGCAATTCCTAAATGCTAGCCAGTTTTGTCTTGCTTATTAATGAATGGTAAGGTCATCTTGTCAAGTCCTCAAATTTTGTTTACAAAAAAGGCAAATTTAAGTAATTGGCAGTCAGTGTATTGAAAGGAAATTTAAGTGTGTTTGGTTATGTGTGCTTACATATATATAAGAATATATATTATAATTATGATTTTTTTTTTTCTTCTTTTTATAAAAATGCTGTGAAACTGTTCTTAGATGAGGCAATAACTTTGGAGTGCTGATGGAGTGTGAGGAGTGTGTGCCCCAGCTTTACCCACTGTTAAGTTTTAGAAAATAGGACTCTTGTCTTGTCTTGTCTCCGCTTGGATCTAAGCAGACGAGACCAACACTACAGTTCAACTATCTGAAATGTATATCGTGTCTTGACCCACTAGTAGTAACTTGAAAAGTAACATAGTAAAAAAAAGATTGTTTATCTGCATATTTATGGAGGATTACAATAGGCAGGAGGCAAATAAACTATACCAAATGGTGGTGCCAAGCATACCCTTGAGGTGACTAACTCTACAGTTGTTTATTAAACTGTAATAGAATACTGGTCTGTCCAAGGGAATATTAGTTAATTAAACAAAGGGTAGTACTCTTGATAAATACTCAAGTTTTTTGATGGGTTTTAAGAGGTACAAATTCCTTTGTAATAACTGTTAACAGTATACTGATTAAGTGCTAGCTGCAAGCTCATGTAAGTACTTAGGCAGTATTTTTGAAGACATTTACAATGAAGCCTACAAGGTTAATGCAAGATCATCATCTAACTTGTGTATTTCATGATCATCTGCCCAAGAAAAAAAGAAAAAAAATGAAAAGGTCATCCAGGATGACAACGGATAGAGACAAAAGTCTCAGCTCCTCTTTATTAATGGCTTCCCCAACCTTTAAATGCTCCTGACATTCAGGAGTAACTTCCTACCCTCCTCCCTTCCCCTCCATTACTTTTTGCGACCAACCCACAAACTCTACCCTGCCTTGATATCATAGTGATTCGTATGTACAACTAATAGAAGCAGAGTGAAAATAAACCTATTAACTCGGATGATGCAGTTTCATTGGTAAAACCAACTTTGGTCCAGTCATCTGGAATTTATTAACAAAGAAAGGTCAGTGAAAAAGCCTCATGTACATAAAATTATTTATTGTACACAACATATTTTTCATCTATAATTTAAAATACCTTGTTTTAAGCCGATTTCCTTTTTAACAAGTGCTCTGCTAAAATTGTCAGAACTTGTGCAATGAAAAAGAAAAAAGTGTGGCTCAAACATTCTATCAAATAAAATTAAATAAGTGTTAAAAAAAAGGAAGACTAGTAGGACCTCAAGCACATGTAATGAAAGCAGTTTTGGAAGGCACTCACTACCACACAACAGAGACCATCTAAACTTAAACAGATGTGCCTCTTTCTCTCTCTTGCTGTCAAACTGTTTACTCGCGTGTTGTCTTGAACTCTCCCCATCCATGGAAGCATCGGGTAAATTTCTTTGATTCTTTCCCCTTAAAAGTACACAGCAGTTTTCTGGGCAGTTCCGGTTGCTTCACTCTCAAGTTCTGCACATATACCTGGGGGGAAATAGAAGTATGTGGATAAACCGTAGAATCATGAAAATAGTTAAAGGGAAGGGTGAGAGGAGTGGAGATGTAAAAGAATACTGGCTACCTTGGATATTTCCTTTCACTGTCTCATTATGAAAATACAATAGTCTGCATGGCATAAATGGGCCAAAAAACAAACAAACAAACAAAATGTCAACTGAAAATCTATCTGCTGGGTTTTTACATTGTTTACATAAAAGAGTAAGACACTAAAATTTATTTACATAATTAATTCACAAAAAACTGTGTTGTTTATGCTGTAATTAAAGGATTATTAATTATGTAGTTTTTATTTGACATACTCGGAGTACCTCACCATCAAATATGAAACCTTTGAGTGCAAAAATGCACATTTCTTAATATACCTGTTCTTGTTCAAGTGCCGTTTTTGCTCTGATCTTCATTTACAAGTCAAAAATAAAACTAAATGGCTGGTCTTGGAAAAAAAATTACCTTCAAGAGACTTGGAAGTAAATAACATGCACAACAGAATATCTCGATGCAAATATCAAATAAAATTTAACTATGAAACCCAATTGTCAGCTATAAAAATGAACAAGGTCTCTTCCATCCTATAAATTCTAATTTAATAAACTGCATCATTGATTTGGGTTCCCTAATTCCCTCCAAACTTCTCATTCAACCACTTTCAATGCTGAATAAGCAATTCTATTACAGGTTGTACGCACAAGGCCTGTAATTCCTACTCATGCAACTTTTGCTGCTGCCAGGTGATGGCAGGGGTAATACTGAAAAAATAGTTTGTTGGTCATCCCAATAAATTTCAGCATCCAGTAGATAAAAAACAGGTAGTTTTCCAATTTCTGGAAATCAGTCCCTGTGAACAAGATTATTGCATTTAGAGTGATTTCAGTATGAAAGCTTCTAGATGACCAGAAGATCCCACATGATCACATGTCTACACCTCTTCCTAAGAGCCTTTGCAGTCATGTTCTAGAGCTAGGTCACCATGGGGTATGGGGGGGGGGGTCATAGAACTAGGGTGTTAGGTTCCTCGCTGCAGGACAATAAACCAACTTTTTGTTTGCTTCTTTCTTACAGACTTCAAAGTACTGTTGTCACAAGAGGACTGCCAGCTTTTGAATATGTAACCTTGTTAAGAACCGATAATCTATTTAGTTTGACAATGGACTATTCTTCAGCCTTAATGTTTTGTTGTAATCTACTGACTGCTCATTGAAACTATATATACTGTTCGAACTTTCAGTTTGAATCTGGTGATAAAATGAAATTGACAAAGTATTTTAAAATGTCTTGCAGAGAATAATTACTTCTTCATACCAATGTGAATAAGAAACCTTTGCAACAAGCAAATTTAAAGCAAAGGTAATTTCATTATATTCAAACCAAATATTTTTTTTCCAAGAAAGGAGTACAATTAAAACATTAAAATGAGGACTGGATCACTAAATGAAATATATGCCTGTGACCAAGTAAATCACAATCTCAATATACCTTTTATAACCATATCTCAAGAAATGTGTGTAAAGACAATGGCTCTTAACCCAATGATTATGAATGGCATGATATACATGACACGTCTGCTAGAATTTTAGTCTATTAATTTTGTTACCCAAGAGATAGCTCCACAGGTACTTATTCACCAGAGTAGATCATTTATCCTCCCTGTCTCACCTATTTGTCATTTTCCTTGATTTTTAGAAAACTTCATTTTAATTTTTTAGATCTTGGTATTTTAAAAATCATATTATTACTGTCATTAAGTGTTGATATTGAATTATAAAAAGAAACAAACTATCCCTAAAGATTCAAGGAAGGGGAAATCAGGTCATGTAGGGCCTACTAATGGACTCCTGTCACTGAATCCTTGTGTAACCATATGTGTGAAACTAAAAAGCAATAGTGGATAGTAAATATACCCATAACCAACGAATAAAGGACTCCTTTTCATTAATTTTACCATAGACCATAGGATCAAGGAAGGCCACTATCCCTCTACTGAGCCAATTTCATCAACTACAAACAAATCTACAACTCCATTTCACATCTCGTCTAATAAATCTACCCAAGCCTGCAATTAAATGGTGGTATTTAGAAAAATATCAAACTTGGAGCTTAACTCAAAGGCCACCATAACAATAACTGCAAATCCTAAGAATCCTAGACTGAGAACCACTGATATTAAGTAGAAAGTCACTGTATATATTTTAATCCTCATCTACATCTAAATCTTCATGGCAAAATCTAGGCACTTATTATTATTATTCTCTTTCTATTAAAATGAATAAACCCCGGACACCTCAGATCCAATCAACACTTATTATACTGAATTAAAATGTATTCAATGGTCACTTGCCATACCTGAATTAACAATTTATTTTGGGATTGTATTACTATACATAAAATCAAACAATTGAAATCGTAATTACTTTCATTAAGTAAATAAGGATTCCCCTCCTACTTTTCAAGATCTTCCCCAGACCTACATACTGACATACTGCAAACATAATGATAGTGCTGAAGACATTCCATAATGTTTATATAGACATTTAAAACAGATCTGTACAATAAGAAAAATAAGTTTTGCCATAATTTCTTTAGAAGAATCAACTAGAATAAAATAGGAAAAAAAGACAGCTGTTCATGGCAGAGAAGTAAGGAGTAAATTATAAAAAAGAGGAATCCAAAGAATAATAGACTACATAAATAACTATCATGAAAAAAAGAACAGTGAAAGAAAGGAAGAAAGAAAGAAAAAAAAATTGATGCTTATAATTTTCAAATAATAAGGTATAGTCCAACTGGAAATCTGAGAGCAAAGACGACATCCATTGCCAGACCAGAGATCTAGGAAAAAGGCAATCACAAAAGGAAGATTAATGAGTGCATAGATGATGAAAGGCTTTTCAGACAAGATATCTAGAACATCTACTACTATGGAATGCACTAATCATTCCAATAACAGATATCAGGTGCCAAGTATGGACTCTTAATTCTTTAAAAAGATATCATTACAAGTTCAAAATTCCCCTCATGTTGCACAAATATATAAGATCATTAAAAACATAGCACCAAATCCAAGAGGGGGGCTTTGAGCTAGACATTCCCCTAGACATGGACAAGTTCTCGCACATCCCTGTTTATGGGGCAAACCAGCATAATAGCGAAAAAATTACAAACAGAGGTAAACGCACTGTGAAACATATTTATAGGCAAATTAGATGACTGGTTCAATTCATTACAAGAAATAAAAGCAAATTGTGAATTATGTAATAATCATGAAGCTGTCAAGTTACTTCGCTGTCAATGAAATTATTATTGTTACTTTTATATCTTTTATCAATATAACAATATCAACTACAATAACACATTAAATCAAAACTTTCGAGAGTATACGAAAGCAGGTATGCCTAGTACTGAACTTCTTGGTGATCAAGTGCTTATCTATCTATCTATCTATCTATCTATCTATCTATCTATCTATCTATCTATCTATCTATCTATCTATCTCTATCTCTATCTCTATCTCTATCTATCTATCTATCTATCTATCTATCTATCTATCTATCTATCTACTACTACCTATCTATATCTACTACTACTATATCTATCTATCTATCTATCTATCTATCTATCTATCTATCTATCTATATAAAATAAATAAATAAATAAAACAAAGCATAGTGAACAGTGGTTATAAATGCAATCCCAAAGTCTACATGTTAAAAAAATACAGAGATGCACTGAAATTTTTGCCTCTGAGTCTGCAATTACTGTTAATGGACTATATGTTGTTATGAAAGAAAAGAAAAGAAAGAAGAAAAAAAACAAGAAGTAGAAAAGGAAAAAACTTACCTGTGCAGATTTAAGGGCAAGTTTAATCTCGACGTCCGAGGCCTTTGAGCCAAGCCAAAGGAAAACATTAGCCCCGTCATCCAGAATCATGGTGTCATCATCTGCCAAATCATCCTGCAAAATACAAAATAAAAGAATTATTAAAATAGCCTACAGTTTATACTAATGCTAAAACATATGCTCGCTGGAATATCTCTCAGTTAATTAGAGTATAACCTCAAAATTACATACTTATTGAAACAGGTATGCCTATCTAACCATATCTAACTATTGATCTATCTGTATAATTACACTTATAGGATTGTGTTTATGTACATAATGTCCCACTCAAGGTAAGCTTCACTTATAAAAATAAAAATAAAATAAATATATAGTACGAATAACCAGAACCACTAATCTACATAAAATTACTGGTACATTTTGAACAATAAGCAAAGCGCGGCACAACAAGACCTGTTTGTCATGAGTAAAAAACAAAGAGTCATCTACTAACAATGGCCTATTCTCTCAGTTATTCAAAGACAAATACAATGCTTTACTGTGTTGTGCAACACCAACATTCATCTAAACTCCAATATTAAATAACAAATGGACTGACATAATACATCTGTACGTATGAATGTATGTGTATACATATATAAATTAGAAATGCGTGTGTGTGTACACCCACCCACCCACACACTGACACTTATGCACGCGCATGCGCACACGCACACGCACACACACACTTAAGCATGCGCACACACGAGCGCACACACAAATTATGTACACACAGTCAGACACACACACACACACACACACACACACACACACACACACACACACACACCACACACACACACACACACACACACACTTATGCACACACACACACACACACACACACACACCACACACACACACACACACACACACTTATGCACACACACACACACCACACACACACACACACACACACACACACACACATACAAATTATGTATACACACACAGTCACAGAGTCACACACACACACACACACACTTATGCACACACACACATACAAATTATGTACACACACACACACAGTCACACAGTCACACAGTCACACACACACACACACACACACACACACACACACACACACACACACACACACACACACACACACACACACACACACACACACACACACACACACACACACACACACACACTTATGCACATACAAATACAAATTATGTATACACACACACACATACACTTATGCACTCACACATACAAATTATGTACACACACAGTCACACACACACACACAAAACTAATTCATCTATCTATATAAATTTTTCTTTCCTTTTCTATTTTATTTCTAAAATGGTAACAGTACCTGACAGAAGTCTGAGCACTTCTCAGAGACAGCAAAATAGCCTTTCTCGTTGGAGCATCGGAAGAGCCTTGTGTGACGCATGTAAGCCGCGTCCTTGTCATAGGCCTTCCGCCCCCCAATGCCAATCCAGAAGAAGTTTTCTGGCTCTTCTCCTTCTCTTACAACCTGAAAATGTGGTGTTTTGAGTGTGCGAGGAATAATTTACGTTGATTTTATACAATTTGCCCTTATATCTAAATACAAAGAATTTTAAACATACAATAAAGTAAAAAATTATAACTCAAAATAGACAATACATGAAAAAACTGACCTGTAAGCTATACTTCTCTGGATCGTACATCTCTTGTGCCGTTTCCTCTGCCAAGCGGCCTTCCTCCTCATCGCTCTTTTCTCCAAGCCAGACATACACAATACCACTGTCATCATCCTGTCCAAAAGGTACTTTAAGGATGTAGCAGAACTCGGAGTTCAGTGAAGCAGCATTGGGCTCGATCTGGATGCATCGTGTAAAGAGTGGGGACCCATTGGATCGCATGTGGAAGAGCTCTGGCTTGGGCTTCGGGGGTTCCTCCACTGGTGGCGGAGGCCTGGGCTTTGGCTTCGGTCTCATGGGCCTCTGGTCACTTGGCTTTGGTTCAGCTGGTTTTTCCTCTTCCTCTGGCTTAGCCTGCTGTCTGTCTTGCCTGCGCCTGCCTGAGTGGATGACAAACTTCCTTTTGAAGTGGGCCATGAACTTCACAACCTCCTGCTGCTGATGCATTCTTGAAACTTCAAGCTTATCACCGAAAAGTGCCTCGAACTTCTTCTGGAGACTGAAGGTGAAGGTGAGCCAGCCCATGTTTGATGCCTGTCGTCCCTGCCAGAAGTAGACCACACACTGGAAATCATCCTCGGGCTCTGTCTCTTCCTCCTTGTCATCCTCTGGTGGCTCTCCTGGCACCCAGTAGCGGCAGAGGAAGACATAGCATTCCCCAGAGTAGAAATGCCCAAGCTCATTTTCAGGGAGCTTGACAAACTTCTTACCCTCCAACACAAAAGCATCCATAGAGTCCAGATCATCATTCCATTCATCCATACACTGTTGTGCTTCTTCCAAAGACATGGGCTGTTGTCGAGGTGTAAACAAGGCACTCAGATCTACCTTTGTTTCCTGCTTGGCACACCAATCCTTCAGATTGGCTCCAGTTTTCCTCACAGAATCTGCGGTTCTTGTGAAGTCAACATCAATAACATCTGTCCAACCTGTGAATTTGGTCTTGAACACCTGTGGCTCTGTTCCCTCCTTCACAAGTGTGGTTGCAGCATGATCTGGACGTAAAATCATCTTCAGCAGCTCCTGCGACAATTTCAGAGCAGCTGCACGCACCAATCTGGTAGATTTCCGGCCAATCCACACAAAGACATCACAGTAACAGTCCAAAATGTAGACGTTCTTGGTCCTTAGAAGCTTCTGGACTAATTTTCCTTCAGGAATCTCAACCTGTGGTAACTCCAGGTAGCCCATACCCAAGCCAACCTGGTAGAGCCTGGGCACCACTGGGGTAAATGAAGGGTCGACATGCTCCTCCAGTTCAACCTCCTCTTCCTCCCCCTCATCAAGTCCTAGCGCCTGCCAGAACTGTGGCCACTCTGGGTGCTCCTTCCCCTGAACCAAGGTGTGGATTTCAGATAGGTTCTTACGCTCCTCCTTACTCATCTTCTCTGCACACAGTCGGGTCTTTGTGGTCACAGTCTTCTTCGCTTTGCTCCCCTGCCACACGTAGATCACCTTGCCGTCATCCAGCAGGAATACATGCCGTGGGTCCAGGGACTCCACGCAACAAGCCACAGTTTCCAGGTGGATACCAGTATGTGTTGGGAAGATACGATACAGGCGAACTGGATAATCCTAGAGATGAAAAGTCAGCATTATACACCTTAATAAACCTAGCATCCTTTTTTTTTGTTCACAATACAAAACAACCATTCATCCATTTTAAAGCATGTTCAAAGGCAGATATACCCATTCAAGCTGAACCACTCACCATCTCTTCTACTGTGAAGAACCCAGAGGCTGTCCTTCCACCCTCAATGTATGTGATGTCATGGTCGAACAAATCCAGGAAATCATCTGATTCATCTCCTTGCTCCTCTCTGTGTGTGCGTCCTTGAGCACCTAGGTAGTTGCGCAGGTTGACAGCATGGATAGCAGAACAGGCCTTCTTATCCAGCTGGTGGAGAAAAAACAAAATTGACTAAAAATTGTATGAAAGAATCAATATACAAAATTCCCTGAAAATGTCCCAGGAAATTATCTAAGGTTGTAAAAACTTCCTTCACAATAATCCAAAATAGCACCACAAGTCACATGCCACTATTGACCCTTACCGTAGACTTCTCACCAATCCAGAAAAAGATCTTCCACTCAAGATTCTGAGAATCGTCCATCTCAGTCTTGAGGACAATGTAGCAGTCCCCTTCATAGAACTTGCCATAAACAGATTCCTCAATTTGGTTTGGCAGGAAGTTTTCAATTTCCCAGATTGTAATTCCGGGGATCTGGCCCACATCCTCATCAAAGAACTCCTGATAGTTTAGAGGTGGGCGCTCCAGGGCCTCGTCCCATCGTTTCTGCCTGTTGTTGGAGGAAGAGAGTAAAGGTAGATGTCATAATACTTCTTATATAAATATATATTTTAATCATATAAACTTATACTTTAGAGTTCATCATGAAACTATACCAGATTAAGTACAAGATAAAATTCCCTTCAAAACTCTGAGAAATGCGTGAAAAGGAAAGAAAAAGTGTCCCATACGTTTTAACCTCCTGGCTCCTCTCCTCTGTCATCTTGTCCTTCTGCTTTTGCTTCTCTTCATCTTTAGCAATCTCCTTCATGCCCTTCAGGATCTTCTCCTGCTTGTCATCCTGCTGGTCCTTCTGGTCCTTGCGGAATTGCCTTAGCCTCTTCTTACGAGCAATGGGGTCTTTGGGTGTGCCTGTAAGTGCAGAAATCATTAAGCTTCAGTTCCACACCCCTTCTCAAGATATTTTTTAACATTCAATCCAATGTCGTAATAACTGTGGCCACACAAGCTGACTTTGCAAAAACCTTTATGATGAATACTACACAGGATCTCTCCATCTAGTCTAAGAATTATGAAAAAGGATTTATTTACACTAATATTCAAACCTTTACTTAAAAGGAACTCATCCTGTAAATAGAGGTCCATTTCATAAACATATGAAAATATGCTTATGAAATCTAACATATTTTACCAGCTAAAAATCATTATTAGTACTTTTTTACAGTATCATCAAAATAATGGCAGAGCTTCTAGAAGTGCAGAACAGAAATAAAAAATACCAAGTCCCACATAAAAGTGAACAATTCAAAAAAAGTGAGACAGATATACCAATACCCCTTTTGGATCATAACAAACGAGTATGTTCAAATATTTCAGGAACGTCTTTTCTTTCCCTTTATCACTTGCATGGTAAAATACATTCATAAAGGTGCAGTTTGCCTTCTATAACTATTTACTTAAAAACAAGACTTGCAAAAAAAAAAAACAGTATGAAGAACTAGATGGCAGAAAAAAAAAAAAAAAAAAAAATCAATATTCACCTTTACTGATTTTTTTTCCTTTTCTCTACTTATTAACAGAGAAAAAAAATTAGGAATATCTAGCAAACATTTAGCAAAAAATCAGCTTTGTACATATTTTTATCTTTTGGCAAACAACAATATCAGCATTCAGACTGCAAGGGTGATAAAAAATTAATGTAAAATCATAGTTAATGATGTGATGACACTAACTAATATCTAGATAATATAAAGAAAAACAAAATCTAAATCTAATCATTGTTTCTTATTTAGAGATTATATTCTTATTTCATGAGGATAAAGCATGTGGATCGTTTCACTCTTTTTTATATTCCTTTATAATCGCCAATTTTGTGAAAAAAACAGTACTATACATTGGAGAGGAAAAACTAAATTCATCTTTCCTACAAGAACAATGTACTCAGTGAAACAAATTATCTAATAAAAAAGTGTGTGCAATAAAATATATTAAAGTGCACATAAGATATCAATATAAAACCACATACCAAAGAAGCTTTCTAAGAAGAAAGGACCTAAGAAAATATAAGAGCCACGTGTTAACTTTCCTGGCATATCAAACTTCAAAATTCAGCATCAGAATGATATATCCCCCCAAAGTTTAAAATATGCTGAAGTTTTCTAGACTGACACTACCACAGACTTACTCTCACTTTCATCAAGTGACTTTCCAATACTCATCAAAGTGACTCATTAACATTTAATTAACCCAGTAGTACCAGGTGAAAGGACTGTCCACTGTAGTTTGGAAAATTTAGATTAACCAGAGATGTCTTCATAAATGATGTCAATTACTACCTGACCTCACCTGTTCACTTGTCTCCTTCTTGATTTTTTTTAAAACTATCATCATTAAAAATTATCATTATCATTACTGCCATCATTATCATAATAGCATCAATAACATTTATAGTAATAAAAATTAAATGTTTAATTTTGAAAATTCAATGAATGGGGAAAACAGGTGTGGTCAGGTAAAACTGATAGTAAATGAGGCCTTCTGGACAAAATCTGTGGAACCATCTATAGTAGACAACATCAATAAACAAAAATTACAGTGGACACGGCATATATATAAAGGCTTTTCCAATATACATGGGTTATCTTAATGGCTCAGTTGGCAAAATCAACAAACCTACAATATTCATATATATATATATATATATATATATATATATATATATATATATATATATATATATATATATATATATATATATATATATATTTTATTTGAATTAACCTATTTAAGAAAAATAATACTGTGGATTTACATGTTACTTCCTCCATTAAAGCTTTTAAAACAAAAAGTATTGATTATCAACAATTCATTAGTGATAAATCATTCTATGTAACTACTTTCACTTTATATAAACAAAAGAAATATAGCCTAGCCTAGCATTTGCCAATTAACTGATAAAGGAAAAAATATGGAAAAAAAAAAAAAAAAAAAAAAAATCAAACGGAATATCGTAAGAGCGAGTACCATGGACTTTTCCAATAATTCTAAGACTTCAATTTCTAAGGCAAAGAATTATGAGCTAATGATTGAATTCATGTGGATTTTGCATCTAACTTTCCTTCCTAGAATTTCATTCTAATCTAGAAAATATATACGTGCAGTCCACAGTTGGTTGAATCCACTTAAGTGCTCCCATGGTTACAGAAGGATGACTGTACCATCTACATGGAAGCTATATATTAAGTGGGAGGGATTTATGAAATATCAATAACATTCACTTATGTAAGGCATGTTAAACCTAAAACTATGAGATCCTTCTTCATCTGGTACTAAAATGGGTATAAATGAAAGATGCTAATAAACATGATAACAGATGTTTGAATTTTCTCTTTTATTGAACACCTTCACTTCTTTCCAAAACTTTAATTTCAAGGAGAAATGGAATTATAAAATTACTTCATCCCTTCCTCCCTAAAAACACTAAATATCAGACAGACAGTGCTTACCTTGCTGTTGTGCGAGAGTGGCTGCCAGCTGGGCTGCCTGTGCCCCTGCATTCCGGAGTTGGGCCTGGAGAGAAAAGTCAATGTTGTAGAAGGCCACCCCCGATCCCTGGGCCATGCCACGGGGCTTGGGGGGCCACACCATCTCTGGATTGTCAGCCAACTCCAGCTGCTCCAGGGTCTCGTTAATGCAGTGGATGGTTTCTGGTAGAGTGACTAGCCGGTTGCTGTTCAGGATCAGCTTTTTGAGGTTTGGACACCTGTATAGAGGAAATGGGACTCATAAGAGGTTGAAAAATCTGTGCAACTGGAGCATGCACTCCCATTCCAACTGTTTCCAACTGTGCTATCTTATGCTTGGCCTTACACTAATCTATACTATCCTTGTCTAGCCTGGAGTGACCTCCCACGTTTACTCCATTTCCTGAAATTGAGGATGTCCCCCCCCCTTTACCATTATCTAGTAATAATGCTGTAAAAACAAGAAAACAACAATAATAGTAAAAGAAATAATATAAATAAAAGTAATGGAAATAATATCCTGAAAATTTTTGTGCATGCATGTAAAGAGAAATGTGCAGGCAACAAATTAAATGATTTTCAGTTTAGGATGGGTTTACTGAGGTGGAAACCCACTTCAAATCTATAATTGGGGATCCTTTCTTGCAAACAATACCAAATACAAGTAAAATATATAATGGTAATAATCCAAACAGCAATTCAAACCATCAAATGCAATAAAGGAAAGGCAGAGAGAGAGAGAGAGAATAAAAAGAGAAGGTCTACCTGCAAAGCCCTTCTGGAATCATTTCCAGACGATTGTGCGCGGCAGAGAACACCTCTAGGGCAACCATCTTCCCAATGCCAGATGGAATGCCCTCAAAATCCAACTGGTTCTCGTTGACCATCAGGCGACGTAGGCTTTCCAGCTTGCAGATTTGTGATGGCAGTGCTGTCAGATTGTTGCGGCACATATTTAGTACCTCCAGTTTACTCCAGGTGTCTGAAATATGCAAGGAGGCAATCAGTCTACTGATACTCCTAGTTGGTTGGTTTATGATTCTAGCCTAAAATTAACAAGATATCATAAAAAGAGCTTCTAAGAAGTTAACACAAAAAAACTGAGTTACACTATACTCTTATCAAAATTTGTATAATGAATCTATTAATAACAACCTTCCCATTCACCGTGACACTCAATTATACCAGATCAAAAAATATAGCAAAAAAGTAAAAAGTAAATGTCTTCTTGTTGGTTACTCACCAATCGACCCTGAAATCTCGCTGATGCTGTTGTCCGACATATTTAGACGTTTAATATTGCGCAGTGTAAAGATGCAGTCTGGGATCTTTTGCAAGTCATTGTGCGATAAGTCAACATCTGCGAGATTTGTCAAGGCTTCTATGTTAGCTGGCAGGTTTGAGGGGGACCTCTGTGTTGCTCGCATATGTAGTGTCTGCAGTGCGACCAAGGAAGGGAGCTGCCTGTAATATAAAGCAAGAAATAAATCAAAAGCAAAAATGTATAACGTATGACTGCTGTTTATAAAAAGTGGATGACTTTACAGCTTATCTAAAATCACATTTTGTGCAGGTAATTGAATATCCTAATAGATGGAACTTTTTAGTCCCTACTCCAACTTACCTAAATTGAAAGTGGGTCAAAGGATTATTGTTGAGGATAAGGGTTTGTAGATGTACCAGTCGTCTAATTTGTGGAGGGAATGTCTCCAAGTTGTTGTCTCCTACGTTTAAGTACAGCAAGTCAGTGCAGTTCACAAATACCTGTGCTGGAATTTCCTCAATCCTGGAAATTAGAAGGGCTGTTATTATCTGATTTGTTTTTGTGTAAAATGAAGAGTGAGCCATCATGTCCAAAGCAAAGGAAACATTTTTAAATGGAAAAGAAAATAACAAGGATAACAGAAAAAAGAAAAAGAAAGAAAGAAAAAATGAATATCCACAATAAAAGAATAAGACAAATTAAAAAACACAATGAGCAAACTAAAAAATTAATCCATGTCATCTCACATGTTATCTGACAGATTAAGGACCAGGAGTGACTTAGCCTCCTCCAGCCCTTCGGGAATCTCTGTCAGCTTGTTGTGCGAGAAGTCTAGGGTGGTGAGGTCGTCCATTTGGAACAGGTCCTTGGGAACACCTGTCTTCTGGAGTTTGTTGTGGCGGACATTAAGCGACCTCAGACAAGGAAGACTGGTCACAGCACCATACAGTTTCTCGATGTTGTTGTTCTTCAGGGAGAGATGCTCCTGCAAATAATATCACATTTGAAGTGCTCAGTTCAAGTCACCTTGTGTTATGAGCATTTTCAATCACCTTACTCTTTTCAAATGTAATTGAATGTTTTAATGAAACTATGAAGATAATACAGTGGAATAAATATAATTAGTCAATGAATATTAGTCTATTCACACACACTCACTCACTCTCTCTCTCTGACCTGCTTGGAGGTTTGGAAATATTCTAACATTATATAGCTGATTGATATGTGACAAAAAAGCTCATATCATGTATAATATTATGCTTTTCTATCAGTGAGCTAAAGCCCTGCAGAAAGGCTCTATTCATGTCAAAATTTTTCCTACAGCTTTTGAACCCTAGTCTGAAAATGCTATACTTAGTGTATTTGGGGTTTTGATATTTTATATGCCTGAAATGAACATAAATAATGTCTCTAAAATTAATGCCCCCCCCCCCCCTTTGTGTTGTTAATGGGTGGTTGGGGGTAATGGGAAAGTAATTCTGTTACTAACTGGGAAGTTTTCCCCCCAAGCTATACACCCATAAAACCACCCCTCTTTCCACATGGCCTTGTACCTCTCCAGTGGCCTGAGCCTATCATAAACGTACCCGATAACACCTTTTAAAAACATGTACAATGCTTGAAATCCTTTCTCCTAACATCCCTCTAAAATACTGTGTTACATATGCTTGTAATGTATACTAATAGTCTTTACATGTACAGATTTATATTTTACTGCTAAATGAATCTCACTCTCACTTTCTCCATTTTCCATGCATCAGTAACACCATTCAAATTTAACACAACACTGTTTAATAACTATGTGACATACCAGCCTGAGATAAATATTTTATGGTATGTAAAGACTTTATTCTATAAACTTCAAAGATCAAAATTGGCCTTGGTAATGGTTAAAAAAAAATTATGGTTTCTGTGTCTTGCACTACTAAGTCAAGAAATTTTACTATGTAGGATTTAATTGTCATGAATATCTTACATAAAAAGAATACATTACAAAATAGAGAAAAACTTCCAAAACTACAGCAACAGAACAAGGTCCATTCTTACCAACTTCTGCAGATTGGCAATCTCCTCTGGCACATCATCAATCCCAGCACTGTTGACTCGCAGCCATCGGAGACTTGACATCTCCTTGATGCTGCGAGGGATGCCTGTGTCCTGGAAGGTTTAAGAAGCCTTTACTATTCATCCAAATACTGCATGAATCTGTTCTTAACCCTAATGATCCGGATGACATTACAGTCCCGTCATGGAAAAATCTGGGTCACGGAAAGCACCACTCTCAGCCTAAGTATACACGGTGCTCCTGAGTTTCAGCTCTATCTTGTCGTGCATACCAGGGTGAAGAAAGTGTTTCCCAGGGGGGTGTTGGGAAGAAGAGCCCCCCATTAACCCTACCCTCGGTCAGTGCCCGAAGGGTAGGTTTGGTTCCAGTGAAATTAAAGAAAACATAAACCATGTTATCTTGATGCTTTTCAAATCTAAATACTGTGAGCTTCCTTGGAAGGCCAGAGATGACTCTGCATAGCCTCAGTAAATTTGTATTGGGCTAAATACCTTTTAGTTAATGCTGTTTTTACATCCATCTTAACCCATATATAATTAGCATTCTCCAGTATTTTTTTTTTACATTTTATTTACACTTTATCTTGGAGAAGCCGTACAGAATTATTAAGCTGAACTTCACTTCTCTAAAGCAAATTAACTGGCATTTTGACTACACACTTAATTTCAACCCTTCCTCTACAGTGAACCAAGCATTACATCTTGTTGGGTGTGATTATGCATATGCCAACTTTCTATCAAATTTTGGAGAAAATACCAACCTATATATACAATAGGTAATTGTTCAGAATACCTTCACACAACTGATCATGATAGTAATGGTATAAATGGATTCCTTTCACCCTAAACTACCCACCCTCAGGAGTGTTACAAGGGGTGTAGCCCCCTGCAAGACATTTGTATAGATATTTAAAAATTTTGTACGCCAGCACATATTTCCCTTCTTTAATGTCACTGACATATCTTGGCGTATAGGTATTCAGCATTTAAAAAACTGGCTTGGAGTATATCAAATTTGGTCATGACGTCCATCTCTGGCAGACAGGAATCACCATTTCCAGTATGACCTAGCAGGGTGTTCAAAAGTAGGTGGCACCCGGTTAAAATTTGCCATCTGTCAACCTTTTCAACACTGGGTATTTTTACCAGGACAATAAAGAAAAAATATTTTACTTTTATACACCATTTACAAACACTGTCTTTAGATATGTAAGAAATACATCTGAGGGGTTTAAATGCTTCGCCAAGCGCCTTCGGTATTTGCGGAGCCCCCTACTTAGACCTAGGTAGCATGCTACTTTGAAAACTTTTGAACAGCCTGACCTAGTGGAAAGGGGTTCCCCAGTAGGAATGCTCCCACTAAGAAATGCCCCAGGGAAGAGGGGGTCCGGGGACTTGTCCCCAGTTTGAGGTAAGGAAGGTGGGTGTGTCTTCCCCACTCTTCAAACCTCAATTCCCCACAGGTTACCCAAGTTTGAAGTGGATAAGGAGAAAAAGAAAAATTTATGTATTCTTTTTTAACAAGAATGTACTTCCACTCCTATATAAAAGGTGTCTTTCAAACCTCCACTACTCCATTTCATTTTGCGCATAGATTTCTCTTCCAACATAGATGTTCCCTCCGCTTTCCATCCCAACAATATCCTCCATTCTCACTATTAGGTATTTCATCATCATCCCCATTGTTACTAACTTGTAATTATCTCTATTTCACAACAGACAGACTGCAAATTTCCTAGCTTTCCCAATTCTTTGGAAAAAAAGACAATAACACATCTTTCCTCAATACTCATCTTGCATTCGGATTTAGGAGGATTTTTGGAGCAGGAAGAATTTAGGATATTTCGGGAAGCGAGAAATTTTGGGATAAATTTAGGATAAATTTTGACATCGCTCGCATGACCTACAAATAAAACTCTTATAAATATGTAAATAATCTTTGTCTCCGTGGAATTGTACTCAAATTTGAATATATATATTAAGAACAAGAGTCAATCCTGAAATTTCTCAATCCTTCCCCATGAGCAAATCAACAAAAAAATCAAAATGATAAAAATAAACAAAACGATTATCAGCCAAAATCCTGAAACTTCTAACGCTTCAAACACTCACTTTAAAGTCATTTTTGGTCAGGTCGATCCCTCTGACAAAGGGCAAGACGGTTCCCCCGGCAGCCATGGCCTCTTATCACCTCCTACATCCGTATTTATCCGATTTTTTCTCTCGTTCCTTCTCTTCTCTCCTCTTCTTCCACTTTCGTCTGAGTGTCAACCGAGATAGAAGTGGAGGGAGAGGGAAACTAAACAGGATATCCGGTAACGTGGTACATTGGAAGAGTTGCCAATTGTTGTTTTTTCTCCCTCTCGGCGGTTGGTGGGTGTTTAGCGCCATCTATTGACGTCGGGTCAAGACGCTGAAGTTGGTGTAAATCGTGGTGGTATTTCTGGATAAAGACATTTTTTGGATGCTTCATCGATGGTTTATGGGATGGTAATAACTGTTAAAATCTCCAAAATTCTAATATAAACTTTTAAAACATTGGAAGCAAAGAGTTATGATATCCTTCGGCGTACTTACCAAGCATTAGATACAGAATAGGGAATATGTCACTGTGTAAGCAAAAAAATGGGGAAATATATATACTTTTATCTAAGTTAGCACTCAATGAAAGCATTTACATAAATTCCTCAAATAAGCGACTAAAATGGACGATTTTTACTTGTCATGTATGTTTCATCTTGCTATTACTCCTATCCAAAAACACTACATTCATCCTTTCTATTAACTTTTTCTCCGAAGCAATGCAACTTTTATATCTTTTTATACGAGGAATTCAACAAATCGCACCCACATAAAGCGAAGCAGCAGAGCCATGCTACCGTTCTAAAAATAGAAATGATCAGGTATATTGAATCTGGCAGTTGCTGCAACGCCATCTATTTATCACAAGAAAAAATAAATTGTTGTCGGGTACTGCTGGAATATGCAACAAAAGAAATTAATCATTCTCTTCTGACTATACCTTTTGCTCAACTTATTACCCGCTGCCAGACGTATTATTTCAGCTTAAAATATTTTTGAAAATACAAATTCATAGACTATCCAAAATCAATACTTATCTTCTCTAGTTTAGATAAAAAGAATAGGACTTTCTTGATTAAAAATGAATTGTATCCGGCACTGAAAAACATAAATAAGCAAATCTCATACCGGAAAACTGTACAAATAATAAGGAAAAATAGCAATTTCTATAACATGCAAAATCAATCTGATTATAATTTTGTTTCTTAATCTAGAAGACTCTTAAAGTATTGGGAGTTAAAACACACATAATGATATGTGAAATTGGACAAGAATATATTATCTCATGTAATATTTGATAACCACAGTGTTTGATGCAGCTTCCACAACATTGCCTGTCATCCAACTGAGGGAAACATGATTTTTCTTGACAAAATTGATCAAAAACAGCTTAATGGCTACACACTCGTCATAGTAAGGACATGTGGTTTTATTTTACGTCTTTTAGAGGCGAACTGAACCGATATTGATGTTATTTAGCATAGTTAACATGTGATATTTACGTTTTCAAGTTTGCATATTCAGTTCAGGCGAGGTAGATGATTTATATATATTCTTATATGTATGACTTGGTGAATCTCTCAGACAGATATAGGGTATTGATGGATTGCTTATGACTTTGAAATCCATTCATAGTATTTTTATTAATTTCTGGTGTGCTATATTAATTATATTATTGGTAAGTGGAATGGCGAAGCAATGCGACTCTTGAAAAATGCCAACAAGCCGTAACCACATATGGTGACAAGACAGACCTGAAAGACTTTCTAGGTGATTAGACCTTGTAGACTTTCCAGGTGATTAGTCATCAAATAAGGAACCAGTCTAAGTTCTATATTGCCCAAATGTATCTTGTTTGTCAATGGTGGAGTGTTATAATGGTCACTTGTCTAGAGGCCAGTCAGTGATGGTCATGAGTTGATACTGCACTGGCCGTATGTACAGGCCTTATAATTTTGTGCTGTTATGACATCAATAAAAATGTTTTGAAGCCAGCCTAGACAAGCCTGTGAAGTTTTTGAAAGTAATATTCCTTTTGTTTATAAACATGTATACAGATGAAGCATGTATGTTTGTGTGGAAGGAAATAAATGAATATTTAGACTAGATTTTACATTGTATGAAGTACAAAAAAATCACAATTATACATTTATTTATTTATTTTTAGATAAATCATTAAAGTTTTACATTTCTTTTCAGCCATCCGTGAGTGTGGGAAATGTTGGCCAGCTGACAATTGATCTACTGATATCAACATTGCCCACAAAGAAGGTTAAGTTTAAGCCGATTTTTATGATTTTACATTGTGTGCAAACTATTGATGCTAGGAATCATGATGATGATGATGTTCATGATGTAATACCAGTAACAAAGAGACTTTTTCTCATCTGAATATTCAAGGAATAAACAGTTGAGTTTAGGTAGTTTTAGTAATTAACTCCTAAGTGAAAGTCCTTATGGAGCCAACCTGTTGGATCTGGTTGCATCACGGAAATCCCAGTGCTGAAAATATGGGCTGTGGGTTACATAGGTGGTTGCTCTTCCAGACGTGCAACATATGGGCTGGGCACATCTGAACACTCTTGAGTGGTGACAAGACTCTGTGCCTCCCCTTCGCAGAGTTATTTTGTGTAAAACTTATTATTTTATTTATTTATTATTATTATTATTATTTTTTTTATTTTTTATTTTTTTTTTTTTTTTTGTCATTTCCCAATGTCCATATTTGTCTTCTGATTTGCTTTTTTCAGATGGTAACAGATTATTTTCCTTGCAAAGATTCCATATCATCTCTCAATGTAGTAAATAACTCAATGCAAGAAAAAACAACTAACATTTGGTTATTTGTATTGTACGAGCATGGAAATGGCATCCTCCTTGGAGCTGGTGCTCTTCTAGTCACAGCTTACGCACCTTTCATTCCAAATTCATTTATTGATGGGAATAATGCAAAAGCCCCCTTGTAGGCGCTAAATGAGTCTAATCACATTCCAAGAGGTTTTTGTACTTGTGGCGAGTCTTTTCCGTCACCCTGGACTTCGCTTATGATGGAAGGTTCGTGTCACAAGACCTGTGGCCATTTTGTCTGATGACAGCATGTTCATGTCACCCAGCCCTCTACCCTGATTTTTCTGTGATGGGACCATTAAATCACCCAGTTTATATGAGTTAATGAAATAAATCAATTATTAATAAAACAAAACCATAGTGGACATTGCATGCTCCTGACATCAAGAGGTTAAAAAAACTTTCATTATTATTATGGTCTGGTTTATATATTTTTTGTTTAATTGATAACTAAAAGAATTTTAACAGATTATGTTTATTTGACTGTCTTAGTTTAAGCTTGGACCTTACATAAACTTCTTCCTTATTGAAATTTCAGTTTGGTGGACTAATTTCATGTTGAATGAAATAATATACATTAAAAAGCCCTCAATGGAAAATGGACTGTGAGGCCAGGGCTATGTGAGTGAGACCAAAATCATTATTGGGGGCCTTAATAGAAACGGGCAAACTTATATGTTATTTTTGTCTTCCCAGAGTGGACAGCAGCTCTGTCATCTTTTGGGGTTGCTCTTACCAGCTGCAGTGACGTAAAAGGCTGACTTGTTCCTGATACCAGTTTCTGGTACCAGCCATATATGGGAAGGGCGTACCATTAGATGATAAGAAGCACACACTGGTCTGGGTGCACTCATATGGTTGTGATTTTCTAGACATGCTCTGCCTGGCGGCAGAGAGTCGACTTCCAAGACCATTTTAGCTCAGGCAGGAGGTAGTAAATACAGCCAAACACTCTTATGCATCATATTGTGCATACTGCATAACCATAACCAGGCTATTTATGTTTTATTACTTACATGTAAAACAGGAGCAAAACCTCAAAGTGACCAATTGTTCTCCTGCCAGTAGAGGCACAAACATGGCCTATGAGTTCAAAGCGGTTAAGCAGAGCCGTTCATGGTGTAGTTAAGAAGGAACCCATTAGACCTGGACAACCTGGGAAGGGACAAATTGAGACAAAGATGCTTCGAGCATGTCAGTTGTCATGGTCAGCAAGCTTGAAAATATACAGTAACAAGAAGCAGACTGGACCTAGCCTGCATATGGGCCAATACCTAGATAATGAGGATGAGTTATCCAGATTTCCATCCATAATAAGATATTTATTAACATGTAGTCACAATATGAGTCATAATTGATTTTATTTTTTTTGTTTTATGTTCTACGTCTTTCCTTCTTTCAGATTGGCATTGTCCACCACCCAGCCATACATGCCATGGTTGGTGGAGATCCCTACAACCCCAATAGCAAAGAAGTTACTACAAGTGCTGACCTTCATTTGGTAGAGGAACATTCCATTGTTATTTTGCAGATCAGAGCTCCGTTGATTAAGGTTTGCCAGGATGATTTTGTGTGTTTTAGGTTATATTTTTAATGTTTGGAGCATTGTGAAATGATCATGAGTATAAAGCTTTAACATTTGATGATTTTCATATCATGATAGCTGTATTATATTGTTACTATAATATTGTATAAGCAATAGTGTAATTATGATATAAAAGCACTAGTGTTATCATATATAGTAATTATTTTAGATATTATACCTTAATTATTTTGATAATGTAATTGATACATTTTGACTGATATGATGGGAGCAGTATCATGGGATTATTGATATTCTAGTATCTTGAAATTTTCTATTCTTATTAATAATGTAAGTTTAACTCACAAGTGAATTTCCAAGCACTTTACTGTCACTCCAGAGAAAAATTAGAAGCATGGGATACATCATTTGAGCCAACTCTCTAAACTCTTGGGTTTGACATAAACAGTTGTTTAGGCAATGAGCTAAAAAGAGTCTTTAAACCTACTTTTCATGGTCTTCTGTGACTCAATCAGGGTGAAACCAGTGAACAGCTGTTCAGTGCATATGACTCAGGGCTCAACAGCACACAGCCTGAAGAGACATCATCTCAGCATGAGTGACAGTTTAGGCGGGGCATGATAGGACATCATCCATTGTGATTGGGTTAATAATGATTTGTGATTTGGGTGATGCACCAATATGAGTAGATTTTATTGATTTTAGTTAAATTATCATCTTCCTATCCATAGCAAGTTATCATCATCATCATCAAGTAACTTTCTTTTTGGTCCTGGAATTCATTATAAAGAACTTTTCAGCGTGAGAGGCAGAAATTTCTGGA